AATTTCTTTGATTTATTTTATTCTTTCTTTATTTTATTACCCTTTATTGAGACAATATCCGTAGATATTGGTACAGGTCTTAGAAACCTTTGTCATTATTGAAAGTTATAGTTTAATTCCCCTCTCTTTACCTTTTATTATTTCAGTCTCTCTCAACCCTATATCATTAGGGTAAATCAAAGTGAAAACCCACTTATCGATTCACCGTAACAATATTGTAATAATTATGATATTCATTACTATTTTTAAATATATTTTATTATTATTTATTTATTTTCTTTTTATTTTTAGTAATTATATAATATAATAATATTCTTTATAAAAAATTTAGAATTTGATAATGAAAAATAAAATATTAAATAATTAATATAATATTAAGTAAATATTAACATTTTTTCTTCTCTTATATATAATTGATTAATTTGAATTTTAAACTAAAAAGTTTCATATAGATAAATTTTATTATTATTTTGATTTTAGATTTTTATATTATTGAATTTTTAAGTTAAAATTAAATATTTAATTTGATTCTTCTTAAATTTTATTTTTTTATATTATTGAGATTTTGAGTTAAAGTTAAATATTTCTAATATTTGATTTAATTTGTTAATTCTAGTTTTGAGTTTGGTTTTATTCTTAAGTTAAAATAAAGTATCTCTATTATAAAATAATATAATTTTATATTTAAGTTTATATTATTATTAATTCTTTCTTGAATTTTATTTTTTATTTTTTCAGTTCACTTTTTTTTAATTCAATCTCTTATCTTTATTCTCTTAATCTTGTTCTCTTTTTTATTCTCTTTTTGATCTCTTGTTTATAATATAATATCTTAAGTTCTTTTATGATAGTAATAAATATAGAATCTTGGAGATCTCTTTGTTCATGATCTATTTTCAGCTTGTAATTTTCATACTTTACATCTTATAACTTTTCTTCACAGTTTAAATAAATAATTTTATTTTTACTTGTACTTATTCTAATTATACTCAGTAAAAAAAAGTATCTGTGATATTATAAATAAATACTAATTAAATTTTGAATCAAATTTTATTTCTATTACTATAAATTTTACATTCACAATTCTGATTATTTTATTATGTAAAGACTTTTAATTAAAGTTTTTTAATAATATTTCAGAAAATGAAAAACTGAAATTAATAGAATTTCCATTACAATAATACAATAATCTTTAGTTTTAATCTTATAATTCAATAACTTGTATCGAGAATACTGAAAAATTTTTGATTAACATAAAGTTATTAATTTTAAATAAGAACAGTTATTAGGTGATTAAATTCCTTTGATAAACTTACCAAAAGCTTTTCTTAAACAGCAGAGTTTTATCTTTCTCCAATCAAAAATTTACTCATGCTATGTACTCTATGATACTAAAATAGATCGATACACGTACGTGTACATGTATGGTAAGGGCTAATTACATGTCGTCGATATGGTAGTATGTGAATAAGTATCCAAAATCAGCATAGAAACTCCATATTTAGAAATAAAGTTGTACATACCTTATCATTAGAATGATATTTTCTTGGGCACTAAACATTTTCGGAAACCTGTTTTAATTCAATTACGTACATGTGAATGTGAATGCTTTTAGACATTAGCGTTAGATGAGAAAAAAACTATATATAGCTAGAAATTGCTATCGCTGTTTTTTCGTTTTACGCAAAAGTGGAAGATAATACATGAGAAAAATATATATGATGGCAGCAAACACAGAAATAAGCCAAGTAATTAACTTTGATCAGGAAAATCAAGCGACCATTTTGAACTCTCGAGATGAAGAAAACCTTCAGACATTATCTGAGACAACTTCAAATAATGTCAATAACGAAAATAATAATTCAACGCCTATTGCACTACCAGACCCATTAGAACTAACTCAAAACTTAACGATAACAACGACAGCATCAACGGTCGTTGTATTGCCAAATGCACTAGAACTAACTCAGACATTAACTACAGCATCAACAACACAAGCTTTAATTGGAAATAGAAACTCGTCAATATACAATAGACTTCCTTTATCAAGAAGAATAATCTTATTTATCGCTTTAGCACTTGCAATGTTCTTCGCTGCACTCGATCAAACAATCGCGATAAAATCAATTCTAAAGACTGCCTCGGATATTTATCCACTCAGCAACAGCTTGTGGATTGTAACATCATATATCTTTACTTTAATCGCCACTCTCTCAATCTACACAAAATTTTCTGAAATATTCGGCTATAAATACACTTTTATATTCGCTAATTCTATTTTCATGGTCGGCTCAATTCTTTGTGGCGCTTCACAGAATTTGATTATGATAATAATTGGTCGTTCTATTTCGGGTATTGGTGGTGGCGGCATAATTTGCTTTACGATGATCAATGCTTTAGACATTGTTCCGGAAAAATTTAAAAAAATGTATCAAGTAATTACAAGTGGAATTTTTGTTTTCGCAACGGTATTTGGACCAACGATTAAAGGCATATTTATTGAATATGCCTCTTGGAGATGGGCATTCTTTAAAGACATTCCGGTTTCTTTATTCGTCATTATTGTTGTTATAATTTTTACCGAAGCATCAACAATTCAAGGATCACGTCGAGAAAAACTTCTACGTATCGACTATATCGGGACATTATTGTTTTCACTTTCTATTCTTGCAAACTTAATAGCACTTGATTGGGCGGGAAATAAATATGAATGGAGCTCAATTTTAGTAATATCTTTCTTAGTAGTTGGTCTTTTATTATTCCTTTCATTTATTTTCGTTGAATTCCGACTAGCAAAAGATCCTCTCATCCCTTTTAAACTTTTCAAAATTCGTAATGCTTTAATCATTTATATTTGCAATTTTATAATTGGAATGGCGATCTTTTCACTTATTCTCTATATACCAACATATTTTCAGGTTGTGAGCCACATAAGTGTATCAAAATCTGGAATGGAATTGTGGCCATTATTTATCGGGCTAGTCCTCTTTTCTTTAATCGCAAGTCTTTCAACGACATTAGCTTGCCACTTTCGTCCCTTTATCACTATTGGATTCGCGTCAATAGCTCTTGCAGCCGACTTAATCACAAGTTTAAATACTTCATCTGGACAAGGAAATAGAATTGGAGTTTTATTGTTAGCTGGTGCTGGTATTGGTGCATCGATGCAGACAGCCATTCTTTTGGCACAACAATCAGTCAAACACAAATACATTCCAAGCGTCACTTGTCTTGCGATCGCTTTCCAAACAATTGGCTCACTATTTGGTATTGCGATTGGGGAGGCAATTTACAATACTTCTTTAAATAGCAATTTAAAGAAATTCTTGAATTCGACAGATATTTCGCTCGAAACACTTCAAGAGTCGATTGAAAATATTAGAACATTGAAACCGAATCTTGAAATGGAAGTTATGAATCTTTATATTACTGCTATACATAATGTTTTTATGTTTGTAACAATATGTGCAGCGGCTGCTACTATCATTAGTTTGGCTTTAAAGCATGTTTTTCCATCACACGAGAACAATTCAGAAATTACATTAAGCCATACGCAAGAAATGCGTCAACAATAATTGACGAAAATTTTCATTTAATCCATGTATTAGAGTTACGTAGTTGTATAAATGATATCGAGATGGAAGAAATTTAATTTTAATTTGCGTTTGCAAAAAGTTAATTGTGCATGTAAGCTTATATGTGAAATTCTAAAATTTACATGCGGAAATACATGTAGTTGTGGAAATTTAAATCTTTATGCACAATAGTCTCCTGGAAATAAGCACTAATAGACTGACATTTTTTGGACGATTATACACTGGTATATTTTCAGCTGGTATGCTAAATATTAAAATACAAAAAACCATACCATACTTATTAAATTATTATATACTTAAAGGAGATGGATCAGAACTACTTGAATCAAGAGGCTGGCGAGATTCAACGAAACGAATTTTTCACAAATGCATTGTTGGATAAAATTTTTATTCCCGCTTTATTGATGATATATTATGCATAGATTGTGATGATTTTGGTGACGATAAAGTCGAGTGTGATTTATTATTGGGGGAGGAGACTACATTGAATATGTTGGGAGAAGGATTTTTTATGCGAATTATTAAATTCACATTTTTTTGATTCTTTTATTTTAATTCAGATTTAACGGCTGGTAATGATAAAGGTGAATGTAATAATATTGTGGAGGGAGATTATGTTGTGTGTGTACTGGGGGGGGGGGTGAGAATACAACATTATATGAAGAGGGAGTTGTTTTTTGTGAACTACTGAATTCATGTTTTTTTTATTTAATTCGCAATTTTTTTTTATTTTTGTTTTACGAATTATTAAATACGCATTTTAGATTTCAGCCATAATATTGTCGGATGATGCAGACATATACTTGTAATCTTTTAGTTATATAATGTAAAATATCAGAAAAATTCATACAGAAGATTCAAGATATAGTAAATATTTGATCAGAAAAATTCACACGGAAGATTCAAAATATAACAAATATTTGACTTTTAGATTTATATAGAAAATAAATCAAGAGCAGACAAGAAATTATGATTAAAACTTAATTTTTATTATAATGATTATTATTATTACAGAACAGAAATAGTATTTTTAAATAAATAAATTAATATTACATAAAATTTAAATAATTATTAATATATATTACTTAAATAAGTAATATCTCTGAAAGATACTTATAGAGATATAAATTATATTTAATTTTTATAATTTAGATAGTGAATTTCTTAAATTTATTATAAAAATTTATTAAAATATAAAAATTTTGTAATTAATAAATAATTAAAAAATAATAAAAAATTTTAAAAAAAGTATATAAATTCTTAATAATTTCTTTAATAAATATAAAAATAATTTATAATTAATTTTATTTATAGTAATGGCCAAAGATAATGTATTAGAGTTTAAATTTATTAATAAAATATAATGAAAATTGAAATTTTCTCTTTATATTAAAATTTATAATTTTATTAAAAAATAATTTTTATTTTTATATTAAAATAAAGTTTATTAGTTATAGTTTAATATATATTTTTTTCAGATTTTTTAGATTTTTTTTGAAAGAGTTATTCTAATGTAAAGTTAGCATAAAAATTTTTATTAATTAAAATAAAATTTAATAAAAAAAATTTTTGCACTAACTTTATAATTAGAATAATCCTTCCAAAAAAAATCTAAAAAATATATATTGAATTATAACTGATAAACTTTATTTTAATATAAAAATAAAAATTATTTCTTAATAAAATTATGAATTTCAATATAAAAAGAAAATTTCAAGTCTCACCATATTTTATTAATAAATTTAATTTCTGATATATTACTTTTGGCATAATTAATATAAGATATTTAGTTTGTTTTTAAAAAATAAATAAGATTCTAATTTTATTATTCTGTAAAGATACTTTTTATAAGATATATTAATTTTTTAAAATAAAAATTTTAAAATTTACTTTTTATTAAATAATATATATAAAATTCAAAAAATTTATTATAAAAGTCTTAAATAATAATTATTATTATATTATTTATATTATTTTTATAATTAAATTAATAATAAATATTTAAATATTTTATATATTTTATAAAATTTTAGATATATTTTATATAAATTTATATAAAAATTATAAATATATTTCTTATATATTTTATATAAATTATATATTTTATATTTATTAATATTTAATTTATTTTATATTTTACTAATTACTTTTTATATTATTTATATTATAAAATATATTAAATTTGATTAAATTCTTATTTATACTTTAATTTTTCTAGATTTTTATAAAGTTATTTTTCCATTAAATTTTATTAAATAATATAAATTATTAATATTTAATCAAATATAAAAAATCAAAATCAAGATTTTTAAATTATAAAGTAAATATTTAATTTTTATCTTTAATAAACTAAAAGTTTCTTATTAAATTCTATTAGAAATTTATTAGTATTTTATTATTTTATCAAATTCAAAAAATAAATATTAAAATTTTTAACTTATAAAGTAAAAAGAGTTAATTTTAATTTTAATAATCTTTTAAAAATTAAATAATAAAATTTTACTTTAAATTTCTTAATATTTTATTTAGAAACTTTAATAATAAATATAAATAAATATTAAAAAATTACTTTTTTATAATATAAATAGTTAAATAGATTATTAAAGCTTTATTTAATATCTTTAACAAACTTTATTATATTAATTTTTTAATTATAATAAAGATAACTTTCTTTAATATTAATATTTTAATAAAATTTAAATTTATATTCAATTTCTAAAATTATATTTTTAATAATTTAATACTTATAGATTTATATAAATAAATTTATATCATTAAGTAATTTATTTTAATAAACTTATAATTATATATTAATAAATTATATTATATAAATTAAATATATATAACTTAAAATTAAATAATATAATTAAAATTAGCTTGTTAAATAACTTAATATTTAGTATTATATAATAAATTAATGTAAGATAATAAATTATTAATATAAAACTGATATTTTGATTTTTATATATATTTTTAAATAAATATTTTTATTTTCTTATATTTTCTGATATATAATATATTATAATTTTCAAGTTTATTATTTATATATTATATTTATATTATATATATATTTATAATATATTTTAAATAAAGATTTATATTTTTATATATAGTAATTAATATATATATTAATCTAATATATAAAATACTATGTAATATTACTTATTAATTTTAAATTAATATATATATAAAATTAAAAATTATTTTATTTAATAGTAAATATAATAATATAAATATTTTTGTTCTTAATTTTTATATTTATTAGCAAAAAAAAAATAAAAAAAATACTATTTATTTTCAAGCATAAAGTATAAAGAATAATAATAAGTCAGCTTTAAACTAATAATATCTAGAAATTTATAAAAATTATATGAATAACAGATTTTTCTAAGTTTATAATATATAATATTATTAATTAAATTAAAAAATTATCAAGTATTATATCATATTTCAGATCTGAAAGATCTCTAATACTTATAATTAAATAATATTATTATTATAACTCAAATAACTAAAAAACTTAAAAAAATTTTAACTTGAATGTTTTTATTTATATAATTTAACATATTTTAAAAAATCTTTAATTTAATATTTATTAGTTATTATAAATTTCTTTTATAATTCTGTTATATTAAAACAGAAATATATTTATTAAAATTGATTTCATATAATTTTTTCTGATAAAATAATTCTTTAAATATTCAAAAATATTTAGAAATATTCAGTTAATTAAATAATATTATGACTATATAAAAAATATATCTATAAGATTTATGTTTGAAATACTTTTAGTATGCAAAAACCAATTGTATTTATCTTGTTCATTAAAGAACTTTAATGTTAAAAAATTCTTGAAATATATTTTTTTTTATATTTTCATAATAAATTATAGATTATATTTTCAATAGAATTAATACAGGCAAAATAATCAATCTTTTCATTATCATAATATTCAAATTCTTGATTGGTCTTCTTACTTATCAGATATCAATTTCATCAAGAATTTGTAAGTTATACATAAGAAAAAGAGATAAATTTATAATTAATCAAAAAAAACTTTCTATAATAGAATTTCAAATAATAATACAAAGAATCATGTTTTGATAGTGATTAAATGAGAGGAAAAATATTGAGAATATGCATACAAAATTTTCACATATGTTAATAATAAAAATAAAATATCTTACTGGTCATAATAAATTCCAGATATTTATGTTGACCACTATAGTTCTAACATATAAAGTTTCTGATATATTCATAATTTTTATATATATTATATTCATTATATATATGGTTCATATATTCTGTTTATCACATATATGATCCATAATTTTTAATGCATTTCAAACAGAAACTTTTTGAATTTCTTATGCATCTCTGACATGTTTATAATTATTCATATGACTACATAAATTCCTGTATGAATAATGTAATATTTCGTATAAATCATATAAATTCTGTATATAATTTTCCTAGAGAGATGAAGCTTTAGTTATGTAACATAGTTAACTAATGTTAGTCGCGGTCATAAAATATCTGTATCATCAAAGATTTTTGTAACACCTTTCCAAAATTTCCAGGATTAATTTTAAAAGTCACAAGTTTGTATAACGTATTTAACTGCGATTGAATGATTGATAAACAAAAAATGCTCATTTTGAGATTATTTTTCTTCACGAACATCCTCATGAATCACACTGTAATTACAGGAAAATAGTGGCCTACATTGGTTGCATCAAATCTGCAGTACCATATTGGGTTCAGAAGTGGAAGAACTAAGTGATCAAAAAAAGCTTGACCAATAACGCAGCATCATGAAGAAGCAAGATAAGCGAATTGTGAAAATGGAAAAGACGGAACACGAAATAACAAGTACCCAAATCCAACAGAAAATGGAAGCCCTGAATGTAAACAGTAATGAGAGCGCCATTAAGCGACTTCAGGAAGCTGGAGGAAAATAGCTCACTGAAATTTCCAAGCCTTTGCTTTCTGAGAAAACAGTTATTGTGGGCAAGAAAACATCAGAATTTCAACTGGAAATGGGTTATTTTTACTGAAGAGAGCACGTTTCAATTATTTTGAGCAAAAAAAAGTCTGGCAATTTGGAAGAAAAAAAATTAACTATACAATTAAGCATTTGCAAAAAATTCACGTATGGCGATGTTTTTCATCCTCTGAATTTGGCAAGCTGGTATGCTTTACACAGAATTTTGATGCAAATTTTATGTGCAAATTTATGAACAGAATCTCCTGACTCTTCCTCCAAGCTTTTTAGCGAAGGTAATTAGAATAGATTTTGCAAGAAGACAATGGTTATAAATATTATTTGAAAGTCGCAAAAATCAGGAAGCAAAAAAATGGTATAAGCGCCATCGATGTCTCCGGATCAAAATCCTATTAAGAACGTATGGCATGTGTTGAGATCAAAAAAAAAGAGGACAGTCAGCGAGGTAAAAAAAATCTAATGGAGGAATGGAACCATCTCTCACCTGAGTTCGCCGTAAGATTGGGGTAGTATGGAATGTCAGGTTGCGGCGCTAATAGAATCCAATGTCATGTCTTTGAATTTACAGTTAGTTTTGTAGTTTAAAATAAAAAAATTTTGCCAGTTACTTTATTTTTGCATAAATGGGAGTGGTACAGATACTACTGTATTTGATCAATTCAGTAGTTTTAAATTACAACTAAGTTTAAAGATATCAAATTACTACACAGAAATCATTTTATTAGTATATAAATTATACAGATATACAGTAATAAGCAAAAGTTTCTGACCTCTTATAACTTTTTATATTAAAAAATTTTTGTTTTAAACTTTTTGAGAGAATTAACAATTATTAAAAAAATTTAATATAATTTAATAAGCCAGTTGTTGAATAATTAAATTTTAGATTTTGGTATTAAATTATAAAATTTAATAAATTCAAAATTTAATTTCTCAATAACTGTCTTATTAAATTATGTCAAATTTTTTATTACTAATATAAAAATGCTTAAATCTTAATATATTAAATTTTAATTTAAAAATATTAATATAATTAATTTATTAATATTTTTTTATTTATGTAAAAAATTGATTTTAAAATTCAGCTCTTATTTAAATTAGGTTATACATGTAGTAATTACAACATTAAAAAAAACTCATAGAATCTAGATTTATATTAAACTATGTATGCTGAAAGTTTCAATATTCATTCTAAAAAGTTACAGGGGTCCGTTACTTTCGATTACTACTGCATTTATTTTAAAAAGGTAGTTTCATAACATTAGTCCAAATGTCAAAATTCTGGAGCAATTCAGTACCGAATTGTTGAATTCGGATTTATGTCGCAACAATACGGGCGCAATTAAATACATGTAATTGCTATTTACGTCAGTATTGCTGCCGAACTCGGCAAAATTTCAAATGATTCATCAGATTTGACTTTTATTAGCGCTAATACATGTAACGGTATAAAATCAATAACCATTATCAGCTATAAAGAAAAATACCGTATAAACTCAAGAATACGCACTAGCCCCTGATTAAATTAAAAAAATTATGAATAAGTTGCTTTTTGAATCGCGTGATATACAAATAACTCATAATTAGAAATAATAAATTAATGTCAATAATAAGAAAAAATCACGTATCGGCAATTCAGTCCTTTACAACGGCTGATATTGAAATTGAAAACACATCAAACTTCACAGGATAAAAAGAAAAGAATCTTCATCGAGATGAGTTGACAGTAAATTATAATTTAAACAGTTACTTTTTAAGATGACAATTCATGTAATAACGATAGACGTATGATTTACAAAACAGTTTCTTTCACTTTATCCTCCTCAACTTGATGAATATCTTTCACTTCATTCTCCTCAAGTCGATTTTCTCGATGAATACGCAACCACACGTAATCAATCCACTAATTGCAAATAAGAGAATATTAATCAGCTATCTAATCAAATGAATTATTGAAGAAACAGTTCACATACCAATCCTCTTTTAATAAATCCCAAATAATTATAAATTTTACATTCAACTGAGTGTGGAATTCGAACTGAACCGATTACTCGTTCTTCTGGAACTGTAATTTGATCTGGTAGGCAGTATTCTACCCAACCACCGTCATTAGCAATATGTTCAAATACACTTGAATCCGCTAAATGTGTTGTCTTTGTCTCCCTTATTTCCTCATCAAACTAAGAAAATACGTATAAAGTTATATTAATATATCCGGTATGCAACGATAGTAAAGTTGGTCTCATTTTTTTTACTTACTACTTCGAAAACTTTAGTCACAAAATTTAAACTTTGAAGACTGAAATTTGAATCAACTTTAAAGCGCCAAACAACATCATAAATTCCAGGTCGCACGTTTGAGATAATACCCCAAACCTAATTAATAGATTTAGACTGAGACACGAAATTATTTAAAAAACGATTATTGTTATTTAGAAACTTACATCAAACCACCAAACATAATCCAAAAAAACAACTTTTCCATATTCACTTTTTTTTTGTTTTTAAAAAAAAAAAGATTATTAATGTTTGATTACAGGCTGGCTTTAGCGTAATAAAAAGAATATTTTTTTACCTTTCATCACAATCTAACGTTTTCCAGTGATGAGTACCTCCATCCGCAGTATCCAACCAAACAACTCCACGATCTCTCGCCAAAAAACTCATTGGTCGAGCTATTTAGTAAACAATCGGAATAGTAATGAATTAGAATACAAAGATAACAGTTAAATAATTAAAGATAAGTCTTCTTACATAGTTTCATATACAAGCTTTGCCAGTTGATGTTCTCGTCGAAATCCTCTTCATCCATCGACGACAAAGATTCTGATGCATCCGGTCCAACGTTGGTTTGTGCGCTATTCACCCTTCTTAGTCGTTCTCTCTCTTCATTGATACTTTCTTCACTGAATTGATTCTTACACATTAAATGCCATACGTAATCATCCTGAACATGCTGATATAGATTTTTGTTCGCCTAGAGCATTCTTCTGTTGTGAATATTTTTATCAACTTGATAAGCTAATGGATAACAAATACCTTACCAAGGAAATTGAAAAAATATCTCGTGCATTTAAAAGACCAAGAATCTTTTGTATTATCTCATTAGGTAATTTTTTAAAGATATCTTTGTTTTTGCTTTTATCGTTATTAATGATTTCCATTTTTCTACATTTCGATATAAATAATTTCCATTATATACATGTTCATGCTACATGCAGATCATTGTGCAATTTTTATTCGATTGCGGACCACTACGATGCGGGTACGGCGTACACAGAACGCAGGTACAAACTGATAAAAATGACGATTTTTTTATACATGTATAGTAATAGGAGGAGAGGATTAAAAGTTTAGCGTTATATAATTGGAATACTTTGGGGATAATTAAACAAATTCTCGTGATCGTATCTATTTTTTATCTCTATTAATCTATTCAGATTTTCACCATAATACGCGTACAAGTAATTTGGCAAATCAATATCGATATAATTCTGATAACTGAACGGTGATGCATAACGTGACCGGAATTCTAAAGAAAAAGAATTTACGGCGTCTTTACACTCTTTAGCGATATCAGGATTTTCCCATGCTGATAACATTTGAATACCGAATGATACGTCGCGATGAACAAATGCAGTAGCATTTTTAGGAACTTGAGCGACAGCTCCGCCAAAAATGTCCATCAAAGAAAAAACATTGCAATCCTTATTAACGTTGCTAAGAAAATTGTCCATGAAAGCGATTCCTTCATCGGATAAACCTTTTTGATCGATCAAAAAAGATTTAGCTTTGAAAGAATATGATGCTAGTTTAGGGTTAATGACATCTTGAATAGTCATTTGGTCAGAAAAATCATATACGGATTCAAATAATGTCTGTGATTCATTTTTCACGACTTGATAATCAGGAGTCGTGGATAGCCATTCATTCAATTCTTTATCAAGTTCCCACGGTTGTCCTAAAAAGATGCCATTAAATATAAATGTGTCTTTAGCCCATTTAGTTTTTGTCGTTATACGCCTGGTGCCATGAGCGGAAAATTTTTCCATCGCAGGAATAAATTTATGAGCAATTGTTGTGTTCGGCCACTGAAAAGTAAAAACTGTAACATTTCCTGAATAAGGGTTGATTCTAAATTTGATTCTAGTAACAATTCCGTAATTGCCTCCTCCAGCACCTCTCAATGCAAAGAATAAATCGGGATGTGAAACATTATTTGCGGTTAAGACTGTTCCATTTGCGCTGACTATTTGAATCGAAAGAATATGATCAGTAACCAAACCGAATTCTCGAGAATATAAGCCAAAACCGCCACCTAAAGAATGACCACCGATACCAACTGCTGGACAAGTACCGGCTGGAATAATGTATCCGAGTTGACTAAGTTTATAATATATAGGACCGAGTCTATTTCCAGTCCCAATTATAGCAGTTTGTGTCTTAGTGTCGATAATTAAATCGGAAAAGTTTTTCAAGTCAACAACGAGTGCACCATCGTTTCCGCCAAGAGAGTAGTCTTCAAATGAATGTCCTATTAGTAAAAAAAATTGATACGAATTTAGTTTTGGTACGAGTGAAATTACCATGAAAAGTTATACTTCATGTTAATAATTTCTTATACCTCCAGAACGTGCGACAATTTGTATTTTGAGAATTTTCGCGCAATATATTGCAATTTTTATATCATTCTCGTTTGCCGCATACAATAAAGCCGCAGGATCTATTTCGAAAAACAATAAATCAATATTAGCTATGTTCAATTTCTAGAACTAACTTCGGGTTAACAATCTAACAGAATTGACTTTGTACTCACATCTTTTTATATCTGTATTAACGCCTTGAACTAATACTGTGTAATTGGGGTCACTAGGATAAACAACATCTCCGGCGACACTTTTTAAACATATTTGCAGAGCTTGTGAATTATAATCCCATCGCTTTTGAATCCTCACCGCGTCTACCGTTCCAGCACAATAATCGGAAAAAAGTAAGAAAACAAGGGAAATTTTTATTGCAGCGACAAAAAAATGCTCTATAAATTTTTTCATTTTTATTCAAAATGTTATGCGTTGTTTCTAGTTGAGAACAATTAAAAGTCGATTTTAGAATTAAAAACCAACAGAGAAAATAAAGAAATCTGTTTGCCGGCTTTTTTTATATCAAACACCATGTCGCAAAATTTTGCTTCGATTGGTATGATAATACAATTACAAAAACAGATAGTGTATAACGATAGATCAGTTTTTAGAAAAATTGAATACAATTCATTTTTTTCTGAATAATCAAAGAAAGACATACGATCAATTTTTGATACCGCGCATTTAGAAAACAATAACGATAAGAAAAATTACATTATCAAGGTTAAGTATATATTTGGACCTTGCATTTAGGAAGATTAGATCTTTTTTTGAAAAAATAAATTTTTTGATTTAACAACTCTAAAAAAGATATTACATAATTAACAATTGAATTTACCAAAGCTAGAAGAATTTAATAACTATGTAATTAAATGCAATAGGTTTATTTTAATTTTGTATAAAAAAATTAAAAGCTTTCAAAACTTTGGAAATGATATCTTGACAAATCAGGTTAATAAAATACATATTGAAAAGCTGAAAATTATTATATAACTAAGAAAAATTAAATAAACATTTAGATCTATCTATTTGAAAAATCATATAATATTAGATTTCAAAGTTTTTTATCTATTATAAATATTCAAATTCCAGTATATATTTGATCTCTTATATAATTTAAATATGGTCCAGTGCAAAAAAATTGGCACATCAGATAAATATTAATAGATTATTTTTTCAAAATAAAATTTTAATGCTGTCTTATTTAATTAAGTTATTAGATATTGGGATTTATTTAAATATAAAAATTTTTATTATATATCTTTTATAAAA